CAGTATTATAGAATGAAACCAAAGATCAAACCCTGTTTTAGGTCCAGAACATGCGAATAGAGCAGCTGCGAGAGAATTCAACATTAATGAATCAAAAAATTGCACACACAAAAAAAATCGACGAAAGGTGAACCGCGTTATAGCAAGCGACTAAAATATTATTAATAAAATATTTAGTAGCATTTTGCGAACTTGATATTTCTGCCTCAAAATAAGTGAACTGTTGGAAATTTCCTGCAGGGCCAACAAATAATTAAACACCCCAGTGGAGCGAGTTCAAAATGGATATAAACAACTTTCAGATCATCACACTATATGATTAACACATACTAAAGAAAAAAAGAGAGCTTGGGAAACTGTGTTACTACTCTTCCTGTCTGTTAGTTCAGCGGTCCCCAACCCCCGGGCCTAGGACCAGTACCGGTCCGTGAGTCGTTTGGTACCGGGCGTTGAGGCTCAGGTGTGAAATGTATAGTTTTCAGGGTTTTTATCGGTTTCCAGCATTATTTTGTTATCATTTTTATTGTTAACTCGGTTTTCCTGGGTCTTTTCACGTGTGTTATGAATAAATCTTCTTTTTTTCGGTACCAGTACTAGTTTTATTTTGTTGTATTTATCTGCGACACCTTAAAGGCCAGTCCGTGAAAATATTGTCGGGCATAAACCGGTCCGTGGCGCAAAAAAGGTTGGAGACCGCTGTGTTAGTTGACGGGCCATGTTTCCTCTCTTGTGTGGTAAATTATGTCTCTTTTTGACGTAGATCTGCTATAACCAGTTTTTTCCCCCCTCTTTGTAGTGCGTTATTAACACATCTTACCCCTCCCCTTATGGTCTTTCCTTACTGCTACACTGTGTGATCTGAGGCTTCCAGATGTGCTTTGCACTCTGGTGATCATTACTGTCATAACAGTAAAGGGCAGCATCATTAACCTCAGGCACACACAAAAAACACACTTCTCTCCCGTGCCTCTCTCTCACTCTCTCTGAGGAATTTATACTGAGGTACAGCTCAGCTTTGACACAGAAAGCAGGGACGCCATTTTTCTTCTGAAATTTTCATTAAGTGAGCAGTTGGAAATGATGAGTTTCTTGCTAGAGCCAGCACTCGCTAGCTCTAGCAAGAAACTACCCCTGACTAGATAGCTTTGCCTTGGAAGACAGGCAAGCAGCTGAAGTATTGCACGTTTTATTTAGAGCTGAAAAACTTTTAATGAGTGAGGTTTGATTGTATTAGTAACACATAAACTTTGCTGGAAAACTTGGATATTGTTAGTTAAGGTTATTCTTCTTGGGTGCTTGTTTCCAAGTTCATATTTGAGCCAAGTAGCGGTTTGGCAAGAATGAAGATGTTGACTTGGACAGCTTTTTCTCTCTCTCTTTCTCCCTTCTTGTAATTCTGAACTACAGACCTTGTAATAGAATCACTGGATGTTAGACAAAGGTCTCTTTGGCATCAGCTCACTCCTTAAAAGCACACATTGCTGTGTGTAGCAGATTTCTCCGACCACTCCAAAGGCGTCTTTTTGTGGCGTCTGCTGGGTTCAGCACTTGTGATGTTGTTATTGCTGCCGCTGTGTTTTCTGCAGCCCCCAAACCACTCAGTAGCATATGATGGAAAGAGCGATTATAGTCCCCTGCAGACAAAGAATCTCATTTAATAGATTTTAGAGCTTTTTGTCGTCTTTCTCCCCGCTTCGTCATCTCACAGAACATGTGTGCTGGCGGTTGTTGAGCAACTATTTTTTATTTTCGGCACAGTTTGTGTGTCTGTGCATGTGTGTGATTTATGCATATAAATTAGCGTGCAGTGGTTTGTTTTTCTATGCGTGACATATTGTACAGTAAGTATCTATACGTTATCTCAGCAGCACAGATGCACATGGGAAAGGTGCAGCACCAATTAGTCTTCTTCTGGCTCATCAGAGCGAGGACTTCCACACTGGGAACTGTTAAGTGCGTTCCAGCTCGTATTAATGATACCCTGTCTCAGTGATGACGCCCTCTGGACTAGTATTGAGAAATTCCTGTTTTTAATTGCATAAGCAATTACTATGGTTTGTGATTTTTACAGTGATTTGGTTAATATTAAATCATGCATTTAAATGTGAGCTCGCTCTCTCTATTTAATATGTTTGGAGTTTTGCAACATAGTCATTTCAAAAGTACAGATAAATTAAGTCTGGAGGTTTTTGTGGCTTTGGAGACTTTTCATTAAAATTATGAAACAAAACAAGTTGAACACACTGCTCTTTTGTTTTTATCTTCTATTATGGCATACCTGGTTGAACACCTTTTCACTACGATTTAGTTTCAGTTCATTGGTAGTAATTGGGCAAAACCTTAAAACTATAAGGCAACTCCTTTAGACTTAAGCCATAAAGGTTTCTGGACTGGTCATTGACCATCTGACAACCACCGGTCACTAGGGACAAATGTTAACCAGCGATTGGTTGCTGGAAATTGCTGCCAGCCACTTTAAATTCGATTGCTAAACCCCTATCAATGTAGGCCTAGAGACTAGTCAGTGGACCTCTTGGTAATCACTGGTCAAAAA